CCACCGAGGTGGCTCTGGAGGGGGTGGCGGCAGCACCTCTGGCGGCCGGGGTTCCGGCGGCGGCAGCTCCGGGGGCTCCTCGGGAGGCCGGGGTTCGAGCTCCGGGGCCGTCAAGTCCTCCGGCAGCAGCTCCGGTGTGAAGTTTAATTCCAGCACTTACTCCCGAGAAGTCAGATAGAGCGGTGTCTGCGTCCCGTTAGCTCTGGCTCGCTCCTCCGTGGCAAGATCAGGACCCACCGTCCCGGGGTCCCTGGAGGAAGGGCTAGGGTCAGTCGCACGGGCTCACCCCGCCCCCCAGCTGTCTCTTTCCTTTGCTGCTTTCCAACAAAGTTTCCGGATCGGGGGCCGCCTCAGTCCCCCAGCTATGACCCTGCTTTGTGCCTTCCCCGAGAAACAGTCCAGCAGTTACCACGACACACCTGACATTTCAAAGCACCTCCCAAGCCAGCCGGAGCAGAACCGGTGCGAGCCGGGGCTTCTTGCCCCGCAGAGAGCGCCCGCGCTGGACAGCTCCCCGGTGTCCTCGGCGCCACTTTGGTTTGGCACATAAAGTGTGAGCGAGTTGTTTGTCTTTTGTGGAGAGGTTGCCAAGTCCCCGTTTCCCGGTTTTGCTGCAATAAACTGCATTTGAAATGATCCATGAGCCTCAGTCTCCTTCGTTTATGGCACTGTCTATCCCGGCCGGGTGTGGTTTGTGGGTGTGAAAGACTCTAGAGCCACCTGGCATGTGGGAGTGCAGGAACCTGAGCAGGACATGGAGGGTGACCAGGCCGCGAGTCACAGAACCAGCTGCCTCCCAGAGTGTGGGGATGTCACGGAGAGACGGAGACGTGAGTGTGGCAGGTTTTACTCATCTGAGGAGGCTTTCTCGAAAAGGACAGTGGGCAAGCAGGTTGGGAAGGAGGGGTTTGGCACTGGGAAGATGGGAAAGTGTTGCATGGGAAAGTAATTCTGTTCCACTGGTTGTGTGGAACAGCCAGCGATGAGGGCATGGGTGCCACAGGGTTCACAGCTATTCCAGCCAGACTACAGACTTTGACTTAGGGGTTTCCAGAACTAAGAGTGGTCTCAGTGAGCTGGACATTCCATTTCCTCACTCTCTTGGGCCACCATCCAGAGCTTTGCCTAATCTAGAAAGTTCTCTTGCTGACACATTGCTTGTATTTGGGAAGCAGTACAACAGGATCACTTTGGGGTTGGAAGCACGTGGTCAACTTTGGGTATGCTTGGGTTTGAATCTTACCATCACTATTTACAAGTCTGTGATAATGTGTGCAGTATAGACCTCACTGCACCTCAGTTTAAGCATTTCTAGAATGGGGATAAAAGCCCTTTCTTGTGGTAGTTACTGTGAGGATTGAATAAGATGATGAATACCCAGGGCTGAACACACAGAGGCACTCAAAAGTGCCCGTTTTAATGACAGTGGTGATGGTGATGATGACGATAATGGTCTGGCTAATGTGACATTACTCACTGGCCTCCCCACAGCTCAGTAGACATTTGTGCAAAGGAACAAGGAAACATCAGCTTCCCAGTGGTTCCATGACTGTGAAAAAGTTAGTCAACTCCTCTGAGGATAATTTTCTGAGCTTCCATTTAGAAAAAGTCTTCATAGCTACAGGGTCAGGCAGGGCTAAGTGGAAGATGGAGGTTTTAGATCACAGGAGTATTATGTGAAAGCAATTTGGGCCACGTCTTCTCCGTCATCCCTTCTGCAGGGTCTCCCAGGTACTCCCCCGGCTTTCTTTCTGTGTCCTGACCAAAAAGCACAGAGTGCCAGACCACTCTTGACCTCTCCAGCTGCATGTTTTCCTCTGTAGGTTTGAACCCAAACCAAGCTGCGGACATTTTTAGACACTGACAAAGCTGTTTAAGGTTTTGTTCAGCAACACTGAGAAGTCAACCTTTTTTGCTAAACACATTGAAACTAGCTCTTGTCCTGAGCCAAATTCCTTCAACCCTTATGTGAACTCCATCACCTGCACCCTCACTGCAGACACACCCAGGTGGAACACCTCTTGCCTCACAGTCCGCCACGAGGATGCTGCAGCCCCCTGTACCTGAGTTCCCCTAATCAATACTTTGGACAGATCTCAACCTGGCATTTATGTGGAATCTCGACTGATCTCATCTTGGGATGGTTTGGGGTACTTTCTTGGGGAATTCACCTGCTGTCAATTTTGGGGTGACTCTAGCCATGGGTTTGGCCAGACCTGCTTCTACCGGGACCTTCACCAGACCTGTTTCTACTGGGACTGATGTGATGTGGTAGAATAAAAAGAACTAGGAACTTTGATTCAGAGCACAAGGGTTTAGTCCACTGTGATGTTTAAAGGGCAGGTGAAGAAAAATCATCCACAGATCATAGGCTGTGTAGATCCTTGGATGAGTCACTGCTTATTGGAGATCCGCCCACCCTGGGCCTCCGTAGTCTTATAGGTGAAATGGGAATGAGACTATTTGTCTGTAGACATCAAGAGGATGAAAAATATAATGTGAAAATGCTTTGTTAATTGCAAATGTGTCATACAGAAGTCGCTAAATGACATTAAAAGGGAATGACAGAAAAAGAAAGCAGAGGGTAGCTAGCTGCTCAGAGCCACCAGGGAGGGTGTACATGGGCGTGGTCACTGCGGCCTGGTGACACCTCTGCAGGGACATGAGAGCCATTTTGTTAGAGGACCCAAAGTGGAATCTGCTCCTGAGGACTGACTTACATGAAACAAACATACAAGGGATTGGTGTGTCAGCCAGAAGGTCCATGTGTCAGCTTCTGGGGAAATCCATATTTTCAGTGACACAAATGCCAGAGCCTCCCCACCTTGTTATCCAGGTAACTGGGAAACTAAAACAGTGACAAAAGGTGGCTGGGTGCTGTGGATGGAGAGCCAGGGGAGTTAGGTAGCCTTGAGGAAGACATTTACCTCCCCCACAGAAGAGTTGACCTCTGAGGCCAACAGAGATAGTATCTTTCCCCCATGGACACTGTTGAATGAATAGCGTGTATTCTTGTACACTGACCCACATTTTCTAGAGTCTTTCTTAGGTTACAACTTTATCTAGTCACATTTCAGTACTGGGGATGCTCCTATTCATCTTGTTTGGACTTGGATTTTCTGGACAAAATCATGAAACAGAGAAAATATAATTCACAATGAAACTGGTGAAGTTACAAGGATGTGAAACTTGTGAAGTTACAAGGATGAAATAAAAACCCTGTGTAAGTCAGTATATGATGAAGAATAAAATGGAATAAGATCTAGTGCCCAAACACGTCACTATTAGAAAGACAATAAAGGAAAAATCTAGAGCTGGTTCTGTTAAAAAAAAAAAGTTTTCTGCACAAATACTATAGATTAGGAACTAGACAATAGTGACATGAGGATAAGTGAGATCGAGTTCTTGCTTTCAGAGAGCTTAGAAACTTAGGGGTGGGGACTGTGTAAACATGTCATTGCAGTGCACATGACTCATGCAATGTGAGAAAATACAAACAAGGGAGAGAGATGGTACATCCACAAGTAAGAGTGATAAAAAATGATGCTTGGGAGAGTTTTAAAGAATGAATAGGAGTTTTTCAGGCAGACAAGGGTGTTCAAGGCAGAGGGAATAATATAGATAAAAACATGGAAGAGTGGGATTGATTGCATGAGGCATTTGAGCCTGTGAAGGAGCATGGAATTTGTGGCAAAAAATGAGACTGAAAAGCCATCCAGATCTAACCAAGAAGGGTTGTGTAGGCATTTGATGGAGTCTGGACTCTGGTTTGTGGGTTGGAAGGTCTCAGATGGGGTTTCGGGACTTGTTGGCTTATGACCTCTGTGAACTGGGCCAGTGGGAGAGAAGTGGATTGGTCTCACTGCTATGGAAATAGGAATTGGATAGCGACCACAACTTGTTCCCGAATATTCTCTAAAAAATCTCATCTGCTTATTGGAGATCTCATGGAAATGACTTTTTCTCTTCAAGAATGTAGGGCTGAAATAACTGTCCTAGGTGAGGAGGAGCTAGTCAATGGATTTCGTAGAAGAGTGACATGTTCAGTTTGGTGTTTTAGAAGGATCACCCAGGGAAGCTTGGAGAGGCCTATATTGGAGGAAGGAAGACTTAGGAGACAATTGCAAAGGTGATGGCAAAAAATGGTTGGGGCTTGCAGTTTAGTTCAAGTCCTTAGAGGTGGGTGAGTGGCCAGAAATGAGTATCTGCACTCCAGAGATAGGAGTCAAATCATCAGGGCTTGGTGACGGATTGGATGTAGGATGGGGTGGGATGATGCCAAGAAAAGAGTTGACAGAAACTTCCAGATTCCTGGCTCGGGTGATAGCAGAGAATATTGCAAGAGGGCTTGTGGGGAAGTGTTCATTAACTGGTACGTCTACTCTATTCATGTAAGGCATGGGGCTGCAGACATAAACTAAAGAGTCATCAGAATTTGGAAGGCAAAGTAGATCATCAGACAACTCAGGAAGAAGGGGTGGCAGGAGAATTATGGAACTCTCCAATGGGAGAAACAACACATGTGGGAAACTTGCTCAGACAGAGGAAGTTTAACAGACACAAGACTAGTCAACTTTCCAGGAGCTGTCCAACAAAGATTATGAAGTCCCCTGATCTAGTGATGACCTCCCAGTGACCTCTCAAAATCTTAGACTCTAATATTCCTTCCTTAGGTGGGTCTACTGTGGATTTGTTGCTTGGTGCTTATCCTAGTAATAACATTCACCAGGAGGAATATCCATGAGCACAACTGTGTGGTACAAATTCTCTTATCCTACTACTGAATTCCCTGTCTCTGTGGCAACCACTGTCCTCGGCTTCTTGGGTGTCCTTTAAAAGGTATCTATGTACATGCAAGCAAAAATGTGTATATGTATCTATTCTGTTCCAGATGTCCCACCACTCTGGCCTTCCCACCCCAGAAGTCTTGACCATGTCACCCAGTTGGAATCTGAATTGCACGTTCTTCAGCAGATAAACTTTCTGGAATCTGGTGGAATTTATGACCATATGCTGCAACTTGTGACCCCATTTCTGCATGTCGTCCTTACTTTAAGATATATGTAGACACCTCCTCTCCTTGGATCTCAATCCAAGCATCTCCCCCATCATGTTGCTGCTAGAAGGACACACTTCTGCCTTCAACCAGTTGGCTGACTGTGTCATGGGGCCCCCTCT